GGGGGGGGGGGGGGGGGGGGGGGGGGGGGGGGGGGCAGGAGAAGGTAAGGGGCTGTTGATGGGAGGGGCATCTGCCACAAATGCACTTAATGGAAGCCGGAGAGTTCAAGGGAGTCCCAGACACTTCAGACACATACCCGGGTGGAAGGGGGAGCATCAATTGGAGTCAAATCATGCTTTACACATGTTGGGTAAGACAGGTAGAGCGTGGGTAGCAGCTACAAGATGCATTACGCAGACATGTGCACAGAGAACACAGCATGCCATTTCTGCAAGGAGGAAAATGGATCCTGGCAGAGAATGGGGCACAGGTGATGGCGAGGGGTGAGGAGGCAACATGCAAAATGTACCTGCGCACACTGAACAACCCGAATCGCCACAATAATATATTGTCATAAGTGCGGTTATGTGAATCAGCTTGGTCTCTTCTCCATCTGTTGCTGTCAACTGCAACAGCTGCAATGCAACGCTGACTGTTTTGGAGAATGATCAGCATGCGATCGAGCCCTTTATGTCCGTCCTGGAACATGTGAGATCACACGTGCTGATCAGCTCCTGCCGTCGTCAACAGGCTATCTTACCTGTAGGATCCTGTGATTCCCTGTAGGATCTTGAGATCGCATGTCCCAAAGATGTTTCCGGCCAATGCGCTTCCCAGCACACACATGCCCCAAGCTTGTGCCCTGTTTCCAGCGACAATTTGGTCCAACTAAAAAAAGTTTGTTCTCTTCAGCCATCACCCCTCCCATCTATTCTTCAGAGCTCATCCAGAATGTGAATGACTTTGACGACGAGCTCAAGTTCCAAAGCACACAGCTGCACTCGCGGTTAATCTCCTTGGCCGTAGCCCCTCCACCTCTTCTTAGAAACCAATCCAGTCCGAGACTGTATTGTACTCTTGATAAACTGTATTTCAAGTTCCACAGAAATCGACAGCCCAAGTGCTGAGGCCGTCTGGGAAAAAAATGGGGTGCCAATGGACCCTCCGTAATAGGTTATATTTGCCCCTCTGCAGCACAACACAGTAGGCCCTGCACTATTTTTTGCCCCTCCCAGCAAAAGGTAATGAGTGGGGTAGGCCCTCTATTGTTCTTCCACAGTGCAGGCCATCAACATGCCTGCATGCCTGCACATATCTGTGCACGTCCATGCATGCACTCATATGTGCAAACGTGTGTGAGCGTAGGGATGTGTGTTGTAAGCAATCACCACCACTGCCCCCTTTTCCACTCGGCCACATAGATGTGTAACTGAAAAATTATTTACACCATCTTTTCTTCTGTGAAGCGGATACTCTCCTAACATTGTCACATCCATCAGGATTTGAACTCGTCACCCGTTTTATCAACAGCTGCATGTGTGTGCCGTTCAGGCACAAGCTGGGCCACATTCCTTTTTGGGCAGGGGCCATGCTAATCTTCTCTGTGTGGTTTCATTTTCTAACGGATGTCCCAAAGGACAGGCTGGGACACATCATTTCCATCTGATAACGTCTTCTGTTGCATAGCAGAACGCTTGTTTGTTCGTGACCTCGAGTGACTACCCACAAAGTGATTAAAGGGAACCCACTTTTCAGCTTTAGGGTAATGAATCTTTTGCTAAAATTAGGGTTTGGAGCTATGGAGTTTGTGACCTCGAGCGACTACCCACTTGTTTGTTCGTGACCTCGAGCGACTACCCACTTGTTTGTTCGTGACCTCGAGCGACTACCCACAAAGTGATTAAAGGGAACCCACTTTTCGGCTTTAGGGTAATGAATCTTTGCTAAAATTAGGTTTTGGAGCTATGGAGTTTTCCCGGCACCCGGGCACCCAACTGGTGCCCGAATACACTCCAGGGTGCCTGGCCAGGCATGACCACTAATTCATGCAAATTTGATTGACAGCAAATCGCGACTGATAGAAACTCCACACCAACCTTGTGTTGGAGAATCGCAACAGCACTCTTGATGGACACGAGAAAAAAAAATCCACTTGGGTGCCTAGAACAGGTTCACAACATACTACCTATGGGTGCACCACCCAGACTCTCTCCTTTCAGGCGCTAAAAATTGCGCTGTTCCTCTTTCCTGTCACTCAAAATGTTACGAACGCATACTAACATGACATTTTTTTGCAAGTGTGGGAGGGTTATTGCCTCGGCATAGGGCCCTGCAGCAGGCACGTGCCCTCCCTAAGTGAAGGCGGGCCCCCTGAACCTCAATGCGCCTCACAAATGGCTAACGGGGACCCCCATTTTCAGGCCCTGGGTAACTAGTCCAAAACTGAAATTAGGGTTTCGGGGTCAAATTTTATGCTTTTTTTTGGGGGGGGGGATTTTTTTTTGCAGTTAATTTATGGTCTCCACTCTACGAATTGGTGGCAAGTTTGATTAAAATGACCCTTTGGTTTTCATATAAATGGCATGGCAAGTGGTCTGAAAATTAGGGTCTCCGTTAACCTTCTCTCAATGCGCCCTGAACTCGTCAATTTTTGCAAATCCTGGTCGTCGCTAGACAGTTGCCACGCGGCAGTTGGTTACATCCGCCTTCCTTGTGAGAATCCAAAATATTTGTGAGCCTTCCAGGCTCTTCCGGCACGTGGTGTAAGCAGGGAGCACCGCACATTCGTGCCTGGGTGGTTGGGCTTGCCTAACCAATTCGGTCCCCAGGCCACTGTCTGAATGGGCCTGGGCACAGACACTTTGGCCGAGACTCAAGCTAGTGGAAACTCGGTCTCACGTGGGAAGCGAGCGAAAGCACCCGCCACTCTCCATATAGGAAAGGGCAGCGCACCGGGGAGGACATTCGGCACTTGCATTTACAAGCGGCAGCGCTGCTGGAGCTTTGTCGCGCAGGCTGCTTGCTGTGCTAGCACTAGTTGCAGGCGCACATGGGCGTCGAGAGCGTACAGGGCGCTGCTAAGGGCAGCGCCATAGCCCAGCCTTCCTAGCCAGGCTGGGACTTAGACATGGCCAGTGGAGGTGGTGGAGGTCTTCGTGCACGAGAGAGGAGACGGTAGAGAGGACGAGGGACAGAGTGAGAGATGAGGACAAGGATGATGATGTGAGGGCACGTACCTGGTCTTGGTGATGGTCTACAAGTACAAGGGTCTACATCTTCATGTACTTCGGTTCTGCTGCTGATGTCAACAGGATGCATTGTCAATTCGTAGGATGCTAGTAAGCTGTGTGATCGTAGTCTGGGCGCTGAGCGCCAAGTAGGAGAAAGGACTCCGGATACATATGTTGGTGGTGGCGAGAGTATGCTCTCATTGACATTCAGAATTTCAGATTCTGTGCTTTGTTTCTCCGTTGGTGGAATATCAGTGCATTACTGCTTTCTGGACAGCGTCTGGACTTGCTGGCTTTCAATGTGATTTTTGCACTCTGGGATTTCTGTCATTTCTATTGCTGATCACTAATCGTTTAACCACAGCCTATCTATTTTATACAGGATCCTACTGAGGTATTCTCTTGAAAAATCTGCCACCGTAACTCCTATGTGTCTAGGGTCACCTAATCAAGGCTCTAGTTCTAGGTCCCAGGTTCGAATTTGTGCAGCAGCAAACAAAAGAACAGCAAAAGTTAGAAACAGCCCACACTTGCGTCATCCTTGGGTCAGGTTTCAGGCATGAGTGTGTTTTGCCATGTTCGCTATACACAACTCCACAACAAAAAGCACGACTCTCCCAGACTGTTTCATCACACTTTCACTGACTCATTAAGAGTTTGTATGTGTGCGTGTGTGGTGTTTAGTAATCACCGAGTATCACACCCTCGTTCTCCGCAATGACGGCAGAATCTAGAAGAAAATTAAAATCGAGTGCAATGTTGGCCACATGTGTTCAGTTAAGCCCCAGCTGCAAATACACCAATCTGCCACAACAGCACACTTTCACGCTGTAAACAGGGCCAGTGTGAAAAGGAGATTCGTGTGTCGGTATGGACAGGGGGGCAGATATTCTGCACCCACTTTATGTCCGCACATCGGAAGTAAGATGGGCAGAGAGAGGGAGAGGACAGGTCTCTTTACTTTTTACACATTGAGCAAGACGGTGGGGGTCAGGGGTGGGAGTGCAACGATTTCTTTGTTTTCCTTGACACGTTCATGGTAAGAAGAGGCGCATGTAGGGGGAAGAGAGTATACAGGAGCAGGAGAAAGTGGGTAGGGAGGAAGAAAGGAGGAGAGAGGAGGGGGAGAGAGAGGATAAGGTGAGAGGGATTCTTCAGATCTGCCTTCTTTTGGCACGCTCAAAGTAACAAGATGGAGGAGAGGTGTGAGAGACAGAGGCCGAGGGGAAGGAGGAGACACAGAGAGAAGGTTCACAAAAGACAGAGTGGCGCACCAGTATTATTTTCTCAGCTTAGATGTCTGAGAAAAGGGAGGGTTAGCGCAGAAGAGCAAGAGAGGCAGAGCGGCTTTTCCCTGGCACTATATTCGTATGGGGGATTAAAGCCATGGGGGGAGGGAGGGGAGAACGGAGAGAGGACAGAAAAAGAGATGGTGCAGTTGTGTTGTTTTGTCATCCGGAGCATTTAAGAGAGGAGAGAGAGAAGGGGGGGGGGGGAGGAGGAGATAAGAGGAGAGGTTGAAGCTGGCTGTTGCATGTAGATCACACTATACACAAATGAGGAGGACGAGAAAGCAATGCGAGTGGAGAGAGGAGAACGCACAGAGAAGGGGGGGAGCCCTGGAAAATAACACGCATACAGCTGATATAGGCTAATTACGACGGACAGCCTCAAAATGGAGTGACACACAGGGGGGGGGGGGGGGGGGGATAGAGAGAGAGAGAGAAAGACCCAACTGTTTCTATTGGCACTTCCTATATATCGGGAGGAAAACAGGGGGTGCGAGGAAGAGCGTGGCATCTTGTTTTGGGCTCCCCCCCCCCAAACCCCAGGTAATTGTGTCCATTCTCAACAAAAAGATCTACTATCCGTAGTGTGTTCTTCCTGCTTTTCTGTGGGCAAAGCAAGAACGCATCACCCACATGAACAATGCACTGAAAGACTATTGAAATAAAGACTAAGGAAAATATTTTAAAAGTCCCAATGATGATAAAGACCTCGAGGTGACCGGGGGATGGGTTGAGCCATGCGGTCTTGAGAGACTGCTAGGACCGCCCCCCCGGCCCCCTCCTCCGGCACCCTGCCTTCCTTTGGATCTTCTGCTGTGCGACTGGGTGCTGCCAGTTAGCTTCCCGGCCAGCAGAAGTACCCCTGAAGGAAGGTCATGGTTTGGAGGGCTGGAAGATCCGTAGCAGCCCCTCCCTTGTATAGGCGACTAGTGCCGCAAGGGCCAGGTCGACCTTTTTCTTACTCTTTCCTTCTTTTCCTCATGCTTGCTGGTAATAAGCAAACGGACTGACGTCCCCCAGAATGGAAGGGGTTTTGTTTTGTTAAAAAAAAAAAAAAAAGTGAGAACGCTCAAGTGCTCAAGTAAAAAACACATCGGAAGAGCATTCACAAAAGCCATCAACATCTGTTGAAGTCGGGGAAGACAGCCCTCACCTTTTGATCAAAGTCCACAGGAGATGGAGAGAAGACGAGCTGGTCGTTCTCGATCACAATATCAACAACAAACAGTGGCTTTCCGTCCTCTGATTCCTCTTCTTTTCTAAAATCCAATGAGATGATACTTGAGTGGCGCCTGACTGTTTTCTCTGGAAAACCCGGAGCTCCCTCCCCATAGCTCGCACGCCTCTCCAGACCATCAACGACCTCACCAATAAGGTTGTCATACGTACTTCCTCTGCGTTCCTCCATATCACCGCCCTCCACAGTCCCAGAAACAGTGGACTTTGTCGCCTCTACTGCTGCCCTCATGCTCTCATGGGCCATTCTGCGGAGGAGGTCTTCCAGGGAATCAACCAGAAGAAGGTGAAGGGCGTCGCAGATTATGTAGTCGGCAAGACGAACAAAATTAATCAACTTGCGTTGCTCAGAGCGCTTGGCAGCTGTGATTGCATATGAAAACTTCTCTGGACCAGGAGGCTCTTCCACCAGTGTAACATTGACAGATGATGACACAACCTGCCCCCCAGGTGATGCTCCTCGCATGAGGCCACCTAGGCTCCTCGGAGATGCTGGTCCATGCGGGTCACTGCTGTCTCCCATTCCAGCCAAGTGTCGACCAAACAGCTTCTCCTCGAGAAGTACCAATGCTGCATCACATGATTCCTTCACTGCTCCCAAGTTTTTTTCAGAAAACTGCATGGCAAGACAAATCCAATGCGGAGGGAAGAAGAGGAGGGTGCGCCGGACGAGATGGCAGATCCGACCGGCAACACGCAAGAGGCCACATGTTCCCCAGTTAGCAATTTCTGTTACATTCAGCTCTCAACCATTCGAAAGTGCCTTATCCATTCAGGGATTTAATTCAGGCCACACAATGCACATCGTTCTAGGTTTGGTGAACTTAGCTCTGACCTGCAGACAAAGCAGATAGGGAAGGCTAGCGCACCTGTCCAAGGTCAACAGTTTTTTTTATTTTTTTTCCATTTCTAAGACCGTTAGATTATCATCCTCACAACTAAAGAAATCGCTAATGTGACCGTTAGATTATCATCCTCACGACTAAGGAAATCACTAATGTGAGGACTCCGTAATCCCGGCCATCAACAGGCTCTGGGCCGTCGGCCCAGACTGGCAGCTGATGAGAAGTTGTTCAGATCAGCTGCCAATCTGGACATTCAGCGCGGTACAGTCCCATCGACCACAGGGGATCGGCAGTCGATCTGCCAATGTGGGCCCTTCCGCCCATCTACGGCAGCACCTTGCGCAGTGCATTTTTGAAAGCTGCTGGGGACGCTGTGCGCTGTGGAGTTTGTTTGAGGGCCTTTGGTCCTAAGTCTGTCACGGAATTATTTGGGGGGCCATCCGAAAATCGTCCACAGTTTGTCACGTTTGAATGATTATTTGCAAGTGAAGCCCTTGGTAGCATCTGCCTCGCTCGGAAGTTTCGGTTTGCCTTCTCTGTCTCCAGTGCGCAGACTTCCTACTACTAACCTCTGCCGCGCCTCCCCTCCCTTCCCGCTGTGAAAGAGAGAGAGATCAGCATCTGGTTGCTGACTCACCCTGCATCCTGCTGCCGCCGGATGCTTCTTCAGTTCCCGTCCATCTCCTGCACCACTCCCAACTCTCTCTCTCTCTCTCTCTCTCTCTCTCTCTCTCTGTGTGTGTGTGTGTGTGTGTGTGTGTGTGCATATATAGTTCTTTCTTGTTTTCGTCATTCTTGCCCCCCCCGGGGATGGTTGACTTGCGAACTGATTGGGCATCGCCACACCACTCTCGAAATGTGAAAACGACAAAAATGTGGCGGGTGCATCTGGCCATGTTCTAGCTGAGAGTTCATTCTCATTTCGCACATTTCGAGAGTGGTGTGGCGATGCCCATTATATGGTTCCTTCTTCGTACTTTCATTCCCACTCTCCCCTATTCTAGTGAAAGACGCTGGATTTTTTCCACTTTCTGTTGTTTCTTTTGTTCTGTCCGTAAGATTTTCCCTCTCTCTCTCTCTCTCTCCTGCGCGCGCGCGCACGAGCACTTTGTTTTTCCTTTCTTCTCGTCGTTCTTGAGCCCGCGGGCCTGATTGGCTGGCAAGGCAGATGTGGGGTTTCTTTATTCCGTACTTTCATTTTCACTCTCTGCTTTGCTCTCCCCCCAAGTCTCTTCCCGTTCCGACCGGAGTGGTTGACTGGGGTAGAAGAATGATTGTAGGGTTTCTCTTTTAATGTTCCGTTCCCGATGTTCTACCTAGGGTTTTTCTTTCGTTGTTTCTTTCCCGATGTTCTACCGAGTCCTCCAAACGAGTGGCCTTACCAACCACACGCGTCTAAAGACTTGAGAGGTGGACTGCCAGCTTGTCTCAGTGAATCAGAGCCTTGTGCCTTTCCCGAAAAGAAAGGCACGACCACTACATACATGTCTCTGGCCCCAAAAGTTGGCCGAAATACAGTGAACCATTGACAACCTTTAACAAGCTTACAGAAAGATACCTCTACGTATCCTGCTAACCAAAAAAAAAACGAATCGCCCAATCAATCCAACCGTCCATACACACAATGTTTTTCCTTGCGCACCGGGCAATCGACTCTTTCGGTGAGTTTTATCACCCTCCATTTAATTTATATCGACATGAACTTCCCCCCTACCATATGCTGCCACCACTTATTCCCCTCTTTCCACTACCTCCCCGTTCCGCTGTCATCTTTCTCGAATTACCCTCTGAGTCTTTCTCCATCTCGAACGTTTATAGCAGCGATCATCACGCTACATGTAGTATATTGGCAGATTCGATCACAAGGGTTTTCGACCTGCAACAAACTTTCAGCCCGCGCACAAACCATTCCTAATTTGAAATCATCGACCCCTTCGGTCCCGAGGGCATACCGTACTTGAGACCAAACACCCCGAAATGTTTTTTTCCCGGGAGCGAGCTCCAGTGGCTCGGGTCTCCTTAGTCTCGAGACCAAGGAGAAGACCCAAGCCACTGAGCCTCGCAAGTGTTTGGTTTCCATGTCTTTCTCCTGGGAAAAGAGAGGATAGCAGGGTAGGAGATAGAGAAGCCGCCAGGAGACACAGCCACTGGGACAAAAAACATGGCGGAGTATTTTCCCATGTTCTAGAGGAAGATTCATTCTCATTTTGCACATTTGGTGAGCAGCGGAGCGAGGCACACTGTACGAGTTAGGGAAGAGAGGAAAGTGCAGAAGACGTAATAAATCTGACGGACATTTATTTTCTTTCTTTTTTTTCCGGGGAGGGGGGGAGGGGGGGAAGGGGGGAGGGCGGCGGGACAAGAAAAGGGGGTATGCCGCAAGTCAAGAAGAATAAAGGCATTAGTACAAGGGAGGGAAGAAGAAAAGAGGGTAAAGAGGGAGAAGAGGGGAAGCAGAGAGGGAGAACAGAGATCGAGGAGGAGAATACCAAAAACTGCAAAAACGGAAAGAGGACACAGGGGAAAGGAAAACGAGGGGCAAGAAAAGTGACCAAGAAGAATAGAATGAAAAAATAAATCATAAATAGAGAACCCAATATAATACTTTGTCCGATGATAGATTGTCCTCTGATAAATATTTTATTTTATTTCAAACGAGTATATACAGAAGGACGTGAACGATGGAGTAGGGAGAGACGAAAAAGGGCGATGGGAGAGGTGGGAATAATAAAGAAAAGAAGAGAAAAAAAAAAAGAGTAGGGAGAGACGAAAAAGGGCGATGGGAGAGGTGGGAATAATAAAGAAAAGAAGAGAAAAAAAAAAAGAGAATCTAAGCAGCGTCGAGATGAAAAGAACGAGGCTGACGGAGAAAGAACGTGAAGAAAGAACGCTGGAAAGCACCGGAGAGAAAGAAAAAACAAACGTGTGGAAAGACGAGGAGACAAAAGGAACATAAAACGGAGGATAAACCGCGAAGGGGGGGTAAGATCGCCAGATTACGACCGGGCCAAGAAAGGGGGAGCGGGCAGAGAGCGAGAAGACAGGAAAAAAAAACAATCAAAAACACAAGAAATGGAGAAGAGAAAGAGGGCGACATACCACATAAGCGGCAAAAAAGCAAAGAAAAAGCAGAAAAGAGGATCCACATGAGAGATAGAAGCACGACGGAGGATGGACATGTAAAGACGGGATGAAGTAGGAAGAAGACAGATGAGAAATGCAAGGGAGACGAAAGAGCAGAGGCGACTGTTGGCAGAAAAAGAGAACAGATCGCACGATACCAGGCAACCCCATTAGAAAGAATGATTACGGCGCCTAAGGGACAAAAGGAGCGAGGCGGGTAGATCAGGAAAAGGGGTTAAGAAGGCGATAGCTGTCAGAAGGAAGGATAATACAGCTGGACAGCAGAAGGCGGAGTAGGGGGGGGAAACAAAAAAGGGGTCAAGAAGGGCTCAGAGTTGTCCGGCCCGAATACGGCAAACGGAAGAGATAGGGAAAGTGGCAAGGTGGAAAGAAACGGCAGGTCAGTTGAAGTAAACGTCGGGTAAAAGGGAAGACGAGGGCAAAAGGACGGACGGAACAAGACCGGGGAGAAGAGAACGCTCTGGGGTGATATAAGGAGAAGCTGCAAGGAATAAAAAGGTGAATATGGAGGTGATTAATTAAATTAATTAAAAAAAGAAGTGGAGGTGATCTGGGGTTTAACGGGGGGCTGGGAAAGGGATGTGGTCCAAAGGCCGGGAAGAACAGGAGAAACAGAAGCTCCATAGGAAAGGAGGTAAGTGGAAAAGAAAAAGAAAGACGAGATCTGGGAAAGGTGAAGGTCAGGGTAAGTGGGAGGCCACCGAACGGGCGAAGGTGGGAGAGGAGGGAGCCCGCGAGATGGCGAAAGGGGTCGGGAGGATGGTCCAGAAGATTGAGAGTAGAAGCAGGCAAAAGTGGGCAATGAAGAGAGAGTGGACGTGAGGGGAGGCGGGGAACGAGCAGAGGGAGGAGGCAGGGACAGAAGAGAAGAGAGGTTGGGGGGGATGCATGAGGCGAGGGAAGGGGCAGGGAAACCCACACGGCCACATGGAGACGAAGGCAAAGGATGGGCAAACGAGGCAAGAGACGAAAAAGGCAGAGAAAGACAAGGTAGAAGCGAAAGAAGCAAGGGGACGAGAATAAAGAAAAAGGGCAACGAGAGACCGACCAACGGGAACAAATCGATGCGAGGTTGAAGGAGGGGAGGGGAGAGCGGAAGAAGGTAGACCAGAGGCAAACGAAGGGACGGACGGTGTTAGAGCTGTCTCTTATACACATCTAGATGTGTATAAGAGACAGGGGGAAAAGAGGTGGATGAGATGAGAGAAAAGGGGGGTGAAATGGGGTGGAGGACAGAAGGAAAAAAAAATGAAGGGTGGAAAGAGCAAAGAAGGTAGCACATGGGAGGAACCAGAAAAGCAGCACACAAGACAGACTTCTTATCGGTTCCAAGTCCGACAGTGCGCATACTCGCTTGGTGAAAATGCCAAGAGAACAGAGCGGGAGGATAACAGGCGTGTGAAGAGGAGAAAGGGACACGGGGGAAGTCCGTAGGAACGAGAGAAAGAGCGGGAAACGGCACAGAATGTGGGAGCAGGAAAGGAGGGAGGAGGAGGAAATCGAGCGCCGAAGCAGAGGGAAGACCAGACATGCGTTGGAAAAAGGAGAAAGGTTGAGACCAAAACCGTAAGGTTCGGTTGTCGTTAAAGCAAAAAAAAAAAAAAGAAAGAAAGGAAAAAAAAAAGAAAACAAAGAAAGCCGGTAAGAAAATCAGAGAGATGGGGGGAGCAGGAAGACAGCATGCAAGGAGCAAGGATGAAGGGGAATATCGCGCAAGCATAGGTTGGCAGAGGGAGACGGGGAAAAGAAAACGAGTGCTGAAGAAACAAGCAGGAAAACCAAAAAAACAATTGTGGAGATAGTGTTGGAAAGAAATACAGTAAGACGAGCATTTTCCAGAAAAAAAAAAGACTGGATCGGACATGGAGCAGGACTAGCTCGGTTGGTCCACCCATGAACTGTTGAAACACAGACCCAAGTTCCGACTCCAGATTGATGCAATCAGATGAACAGAATAAATTAGTGCTGAATTACCTGGGGTCGGTCAGCCCCATGATCATATCTCAAGGTCGTCTCCTTATACAAAGGAGTACGTGGAGTGCAGGTAGAGGGAATGCCAGGATGAAGAAGGGGACCACGACCAAGAAGAATAGGTTGAAGAGAAAGACCCCGAGAATCAGAAAAAGAGTGCTGAAGAACTCAAGGCCGTCTCCCTATACAAAGAACGAGTACGTGGAGTGCAGGTAGAGGGAATGCCAGGATGAAGAAGGGGACCACGACCAAGAAGAATAGGTTGAAGAGGACGACCCCGAGAATCAGAAAAAGAGGGCTGAAGAAATCAGCGGAAGAAAATAGTGAGTGCGGAGATAGGGTGGGAAAGAAATACTACCTACCTTTTTCCAGACATAGATCAGACGAGTATATGGGGAGCTGGACGTATCAAAAGAGAGAAAGGTTGGTTGGGAGATGAGGCAAGAATATCTTGTGCGTTTAGACAAATATGAAGAAGAAGAAGAAGGGGGCTGTTTCATCATACCTTTACAGATGAGCCACCTCAAGGACGATGATGACTCCGAATCCTGGTGGCTATGGCGACGGTGAAGCACAGGCAATACGCGGGACAGTCAGACGCACCACAGGTTCCGCTCGCTCGCTCGGTACTCTCTCTTCTTGGCGGCAGGAGCCCATCTACACCAACCTAGTCTTCCTCCCCTAGAGACTGCTGGCATACGCACTAACCCGAGTCGGCCGAAAACCGCCCCTGCCTCCTCACCCCCTTTTCACTTTCCCGCCTCCCTCCGAGACATCGCAAAACAATGTCAATCACCTCTCTACTTGCTTACACAAACCCCCACTCCCTCCCCTTCCTTGAAATTAACGAAATGCCTTCCTTATCTACATACGCAAAGGGCAAATCAGTTACTTGGTCGTGGCCTCTCCCCGCAATAAACACCACCACCCCTTGTCAAAAAGCCTGGACAGGATTAGCCTCCAACGCATTCTTCACCCCCCCCCCCCCCCCCCCCCCCCCCCCCCAACCACCACCACCACCACCACCACCACTCCCCTGGGTCCCCTTTTTTTTCTTTGTGGGACGCTTCCTTTGCTTGCCGCCCTAGATAGAGATCCTATTCCCTTCCCACGGCGTTTCCCTTGGCGTGCGAATCTATAGGTACAAAGAATGATTGTTTTTTCCCCCCCTAGTCCCCCTGCTTTCAATCCGATTGATTGAATTATCGTGAAAAACCCACCGACGGACGAAACCCTACCCTTATCCTTATCTGTTCCCTCCACCCGTCCTTTCCTCTTGAAGATCCCTTGTGTCTCTCTCAGCCACTTGCCTTCGCGAGCTTGGTTCAAGCAACCACCCTCTCTTTTCTTCCAATTTCTTGCCACCAAACGTATAAGAACCCACCCTGGATGAAACCCCTTGTGCTCACCTTGCTACTCAGACCCGATTCAATTCTTATATATTATATACTCTTTCAATGACCGTAGGTGGCGGCGCAAATTCGCAGTGATGAGATTGGAGCCCTTGGGGGGGGGGGGGCGAGGTTACAAGACCTTTTCGATTGAAATGCCAACAAAATCCCATAATCGACGAATTCACTCTTTTCAATTTATTTCACTTTCTAAAGAACCATGCTCTTCCTTGCATTGGACCTCCCGTTCTGTCTTCTCATCATAAGCCCTACATCCTGCCGTCCTCCTGAAACGCTTCCCCATCATCCTCTTCAGCTCTTCATCCAGACACCCAACCTCCCGTTCTTTCTTCTCAGGCCACAAGACACCACTCCCACAGCTCGTTCCAAAACACTCCTCTTTGCGTGCACCCTATTGCCACGAACTCCCATCTCTCTCTCTCTCTCTCTCTCTCTCTCTCTCTCTCTCTCTCTCTCTCTCTCTCTCTCTCTCTCTCTCCCGCCAGGAGGACACGAAGACTCGCAAGCTCCGTGCCCACACGAACCTGTCAAACCGGCCGCTTAGCACACACCGTCGCTCCGCCAGCCAACGGGGGGATGGGTGAACGACACGAAAACATGCATTGCCTTGCCTTGCCATGCTCTGCCGCCCATAGGACACAGACAAGAAGGGAGAGGGCAGAAGAAAAAAATGTTAGGTGACTTGAAAACGTAGAAGAAAAAAAGAACAGACTCTATATGTACACGTTGCGGACATCGTTCTGGCCAAACGTAACCCCGCACCCTGGGCATTTCCGGTGCCTTAGCTCCAGATTGCGCTGAATGCACTGGCTGCAAAACAGATGAAAGCATTTGGTGATGACCACCTCCTTGGGCCTGTCGTGGCACACGCTACATTTGAGAATCGCCTTGTAGGCCCTGATTTCCTCTTGCAACTGCTCGACGGTGGCGACTCTATCATGGTGCGATGTCAGCCGGGCTATCTTAGCGCTGAGCATCTCGCACTCTTCCTCCACTCGCTTCCTCTTGAACCTCTCTTTTTCCAATTCCACACCGTCCTCCTGAATCTTCTTCGACCGATCTTCGAGCTCTCTCTGTGCCGCCTCGAAAGCCGCTCTCGCCATGGCCGCTTCTCTCTCCAGCTCCGCCGTCCTCCTCTTCGCTACGTCCAATGCATTTCCGTACTGCCTCATTTCCTCCGTCGCCTTCGCTAACTGCTCTGTGTAAGCCTTCAGCTGCTCCTCCAGCCTCCCCACTCTCTTCTTATACAGATCCGCCGACGCCGTCGCGTGCCTCACCTTGCTCGTCATCGCCTCCTTCTCCGCCAACAACGAAGATTGCAGCTGCTTCGCCTTCACACTCTCCGACATCAACTGGGTGTTGTATTCGTCACGTTCCGAGATTTGCCGAAGAAGACGTTGATTCTGACTCTGCATCTCCTCGTAGGCCTGGCCGATGGTCTCAATCTCGGAGATATACGCCTCCCCCTCCTCGTTCTTCTCATTCAGCTGTTCCCTAAGAGAGGCCAGCTCCCTGTCCAAGCTGTCTAATGCCTGCCTCAGATTCGCAACTTCGGCTTCGGACGCGGCGAGCCGTTGCTGGCACGCCGCCTCCGCCTCGTTGGCCGCCTTCACGCGCAGCTCTAGGCTATGCTCGTCTAGCGCCGCCTTGAGCCTCTCCACTTGCGCCAGCGCTCTCTTCTCCGCCTGCTTGACCTCCGCGACCTCCCGCGTGTCCGTCGATTCCCTCTCGTACATGTCCACGAAAAACCTTACCTCCTGCTCGCTGTCTCTCAGAGCCTTCACCTCTTCTCTTATGCGCGACAGTTCCACAGCCTGCGTGGCGCACTTCTCCGCCAGCTCCGCGCACTCCTGCCGCTTCCTCTCCACGGTCGAGCTCATCGCCTGCACCTCCGCGCGCAAACCGTAGACCTCTCGCGCCGTCTCCTTGAACTTGGATAATTGCGACTGGACCATGTTCAGCTCCTTGTGAAGAGTGCTGATCATGACCTTCAACTCGGAGATGGTCTCTTTCCTGCCCGTGGCCTGAGCCTCCTCTTCCAGTCGACGCTGCAGAGCGTCTCTGTCCGACACGCACTGCTGCAGCTTAACCTCCAGATCCCCACACCGCGCCTCCGTGATTTGATTCACTCGGCGCGCAGTGTCCCCCGCCTCTGCCTTGAACAGCATCTCCTTCTCCCTCTGCAGCATCATATCTCTTTCACGTTGCATCTGCTCGATGATTACTCGGAATCTTTCCAGCTCCACGTTGGTGCCCTGCAGCTGGTCCTTCAGCATCAGGTACGGCCGGGTCCCCAGAACGTGTTGCTCGTCATTCAGAGTAGACTGCACGTGCCGTAGTTGTTGCGACAAGCTGATTTGAGTGGCATGTGCGTCTTCCAACTCTTTCATACGGCTCGCGGCCAGTTTCTCCTTCTCTTCCACCATCGCCTCCAGCTCTGTGATTCTCTTCTCCAGAGCCGCCGAGACCCCTGACTTCTCTCCTCCTCCTCCTCCTCCTCCTCCTCCTCCTCCCCCCCCTCCTCCTCCTCCAGCCCCACTTTCATTCTTCACAGTCCCTGGCAATGACGCGGACCCTAATCCTCCTGCTCCGCCGCCAACTCCTATCAAAGTGGGCAAACTTCCGCTTCCCGCCGATGAACGCTCTTTCTGGCTCTTCACTGCTGCCAACTTCCTCCTCGCGTTCTCCAATTCCGTCACGGTATTGTCGAGCTCCGCCTTCAGCCGCCTCACTTCACACAGGTCCTTTGCACGGAGGTCGCACAGCTCGCCATTCTCCGCCGCAATCTCGCGATGCTGGACGTGCAAGGAATCCATCGCCGCTCGGACGGAAGCTAGTTCCGCGCGCACATCCGCATCGCTGGCCTTCAGCAGGCGGCAAGCCTCGTTCTCATCTGACAACCCGCGTCTTAAGGATGATGCCAACTCCTCGTTGTGCCGCCTGTTCGCTTCAATGGCCTCGACGACCAGCTCAAGCGTCTTCTTCGTGGCTTCTCTGCGAGCTCCGAGAGCGTTCTCCACATAGCTTAGACTCTCCTTATCCGATTGCGACGATAAGCTGCTGCCTCCTCTGTCCTTATCCACAGAATTCCCGCCACCACATCCCGCGCCATCTGCCTTCCTTTCGCGCCATTTCTCTCTCCCTATTAGACGATACAAGAACGTATCCTCCGGTGGCACTGAGTCTACTCCTCCCGACCCGGCCCCACCTTCTCCTCCCTCTCCTCGTCCTCCTCCTCCTTTTCCCTCCTCTTCTTCTTCTTCCATCTCCTGCGATTTCTCCAATACCCTAACCATTCCGTTACTCCCTCCCCGTTCGCCCCCATTTGCCCGAATCGCCAGCAGCTCCAAGTCACGGACCAGGAAATCCCACGCTCGGTTCACTACCATGAGTACGTCATCGTATCGGGACTGTTTCGCCTGAAGTTCTCTCAGCTTGCCCTCGTAGGAGTTTATCTCCTCCCTCTGCAAAGCGAGTTGCTCCGACAACTTCCGGTTTTGGTACGCAAGCATCCCCGGATCGACCTTCTTATCGTCGTGCGTCGTCGATATGGTCATCTTTTTGAGAGGAGGAGAAAATACACTGTTATTGGCATGCCGCCTCTTGCGCTCCGGCTCGTCGGAGCCACATTCTTTGTCCGAAGAAGAAGCAATCGTCGATGAGCTTTCCATCTTGTCTTCCTCTTCCTCTTTTGCTTCTTTTGTCCACACCCCACCCTTCCCGCTCCAACGTTACGTCCCCTCGATTTCTTCTCTGGTACTCGCCTTCCTCCGATCTTCGTCTATGCCACCCCTGCGACGAAGGTCCAGGTCGACGACCCCTCGCCCAAGAACACCTGGGGGGGACCGCCGTGCTATGCCCACGGCCGCACGTGGGAAAATGATTCCTGGCGGCCAACGATCAGACAATGGTTCCGGAAGAGAGCGTGCTGATGGACCAAAGCGGCACTTGCCAGCTAAAGAGAAGAGCCCCACATCGATTTCACGCGCGCTACAGGGTAGAGATCATAGCTGGAGGGTACGTGGACGTTCACGAAACCCTCTTCCTTTCTCCGTCCCCTCCTTCGCTAGTGCGCTTTCCTAAACCATTGCCCCCGAAAACGCGACATAAAGCTCTCCCCGTCGCCATCGAGATTGCCTACATATGAAGTCGTACACATAGTATCCCTTGCTCACTGCCATTTCCCCCCATCTTTAACACCCCCGTCTCCAGACCCCATCCCCCCCCCCCCCCCCCCCCCTTCCCCCCCCCCCGCCCCAAACCCCCGAGGAGCTCGCGGACTGCACAACTAGTGCTCGTCATCATCCATCCCAATCGCTCTGCCCCCCACCTTTCTCCATTTCTCCCGCCAACTCCACCCCTCTCCAAATGTATGTGCCCATGCAAATGCAACTGATCAAGCAAACCCAGGTTCACCTTCACTTATAAATGTTAAGCCCCTCTGCCGTAAAGTCTTCTTTTCTCTGTTCTCAAGGCCAGGCAGGGCTGAGTAAGGGCGATGTAACGATATATATTATATATGGCCAAAATGGTCCACGGAGAACAGGGTTCAGAATGGAGGGCAGAAGAGGCGCGCAAGACGGCAGGTAAATGAGAAAAGCCAAGTTTGCGTCGAAGAGGCGGCTAATGGAGGAGCGCGGGAGGAGAATGCACAACGAAAAGAAGTCTGAGAAGAGGGAGGGAGGGAAGGAAGGGAGGGGGTTAGGGACGAGAGGAGGAAGGAGAGAGAGGTAGGTCGTGTTTACGTCACCGACAGTGAGCGACTCCGGCAAGCCGATCGGATCCCGACGTGAGAGCATGCATCGTCAAGCTACTGGAACACTGCCGCGCAACGGAGGAGTCCGGCTCTGAAGACGGAATGGAGCTTCGCGCGCGCTCGAGCCACTGTTCCCCGCCACCATCCCACCAGATTCGCCCTCCGCTTTCCCTCCGCTTCAGCTCGACTCTCTCAAACTCGACTATCGCAAGCACGCCCAAGCACTCGGTAGCAGCAGCACCCGCTTCTGTTTCTCCCTGGACCCACAGGACCCACAGGAAGGCGGGCGCGACCGGCGGGTCACACTGAAGACGCATGGGGCCTGGCTCCACTACTCTTCACATCCACAAAAGACACAACTTCTGTCGGTGTATATTCCCAGGTTCTAGAGGAAGATTCATTCTCATTTTGCACATTTGTTTGGAAAGTAGTGTAGCCAGGCCCATATGCCCGACCTCTCTCAGGCAATAAATATAAAGGCCTTGCCGCGCCACTCACCAAATGCGAAAGACAAAACAAAAATTATGTTATGGCTGGTGCATCTTCCCAAGTTCTAGCGGGGTATACATTCTCATTTCTCATTTTGCACATTCGATTCGATTTGTGCTGCGGCGAGGCAGGCAGCTCGTCATCGGCTKGRGGGCGCCGGGCATACACGSCCACCGCCACTCCCGAGCGCCCCGCCAAACTTGGACGTCCGTAGCTGCAGGGCACTTTTGTTTTGTTTCGTTCCGTTTCGCACACCGGTGGTCGTGCAGCCACTACTGTGGCACCTCTTCTTTTTTTTTTTTCACTCTACAGATCCAGATTTTCTGCCGGATATTTGAGAGGACGGCACGGTCAGCCCTTCGATAGTTGGAATCGCACGGTTGCTGACAACTTATCGACCCAAGACTCCGGAGCGCCGGCGGCGCGCGCGTCAGAACGCACCTTCTTCGGCAGATTCAAGGCAAACGACAGTGAACGGAAAGACGGCCGTAGATTCACGGCATGACATCAACGGAAGAGGTCCCAGTTCTCGTCTCAGGGTTCGCACTAGCTATTGACCTCAATCGAGGAGGCAATTAGCCTGCCTTGTTCGGTGAGGTGAGGTACCTCGAGGTCTGCCTGGAGGCATTCATTTCAGGTCTCCGTCTCCTCTCCCCCTCCCTCCCTCCCATGAGTGGTGCATGCTTTGGTCGGGGTAGGGGAAACAAAAGCATGCACCACTCATGGGGCACCATGAAAAGTGGATGTTCTCCAGGAGGTGTCTATTCATGGGGGGAGAAGCGTGTGCCGGAACCCGGCCCAGTGTCGTCGTGAGCTGAGTAGGAGAAAACCGAAGCAAACGAGTTCTTTGTTCAGCAGCTGGGAGATGGTGGCTCCAACAGGGTGAGCGTGACGCCATAGACGAAATGACCCTTGAGGCCACAGGTGGGTCCAACTGCAGAAAAGAGTCGAAGTGCTGATCAGTACTCAGGGCGGTAACCAGCGCCCTGGAAATAGCACCAGGAATGCAGGGGTGTTTGGGGGTAGGGTCCCACTATGGATGAGAATCATGTGCTTGATGACTGAGAGCGTGTGAGATGCAGCTCAGTGGTTAGAGCACCGGTTGGAAATGTGCATTGTGGTATGAGGTTGCGGGTTCAAAACTCAATCCCAGCCCATGCGCATGGACACCAGCAGGGCGTTAGAATGATACAAACACTGCCTGCGCACCACCCAAGGGCTGTTCATGGTGTTGTATGTCGGGTCTTGACATTCCGTGGGTTGCTTGTGGCTTTTGCTTGTGGTTGTTATGTTGATCTCCCCAGTCTGGCATATCACACACAGGTGATGTTTGCGATTGTTGCTCAAATGGTAGAGTCTTCAGGTCACATGTCATAGATCACAGGTTCCACCAGTCCCCCGCCAGCCGAAACCCCTCGGCCCGGTGAGCTAGGGCCGGGTTGTATGGAGGGGCGGCGACCACCGTTCGTCACCGGCGGGTCCAATCCCGCCATTTGCAAGCAGCAACTTTGCCGATTTTTTGTGCTCAGAAGAATTCATCAAAAGGTCTGAAGATTTGAGGGTCCGTAGATTAGGTCGTGATCTTTCAGGGAAAAATATCAGGAAAAAAAAAAAAAACAATTGACCATCAAATATTCGCTGCGCCGATTTGGTGCATTTCCGCAAATTCCATTTTTTCAGGCCCGACCGGTTTTCCACTCTATACTACCGGTACCCCCGAGGTTTCTGACGTCAGGGGGACTACCGATACCCCCGAGGTTTCTGACGTCAGGGGGACTGGTGGAAGACTTTGGGGGGTTCTTGTCCATCTTGGTCTGTCATCTCTTCAACGAACGCATAGATCCCTATACGTAGTATTGCACATATCTGGCCTTCCAGCATATACATCTCGCTATACAGTTGCACAAAGCTCTACATTCGGGGGTTGGCCCAGCGTTGGTGCTTGTCACTACTGTCTGGTCCAATTTGCCCTCGATACTGGTAGGGTGATGGTCCTGAGTGTTGGTCAGACCGAGGTAGGATAGTAGGGACTGGGGGTGCGCTAGGCGTGGGGATGGGTAGGATAGGTGGCCTATCTTTTTTTTTTTTTTTTTTTCCATACTCACGAGACTCCCATCCTACCACCTCTCTCGATATATCTCCTGGCGCACCCGCACTCCTTTTCTATCTTACCTCATGTGAGGAACATCACTCTCTACTAGAGCAACCTGACCAGACAACGGATGCGGGCACTGACGCTGAATGGGCTCCCCCATTCAGCCCCAGTTGAGGCACCAGCCGAGGCACTAGCGTACAAGCCTCATGATACGAATACCTCGGGAGCTAGGCGCGAAGTTCTCAACTAGTCTCGTGAGCAGTGAGGGCACCCATAGGCAGTGTCTAATAGTCGGCTAACCCATGAGCCCCCTTATCTCTAAGCACCAACCCAGCTTAGCACGGTTCATATATGGCTATTGTTGGTTGTTGAATATGTTGGTTATTGTTATGTGAGCTATTGTGATATCATAGTCTGTATGGATGTATGTAGTTGCTTTCTGCTACTAATGAGCCTTGCTTATGTCTGTTTGCTATGGAGAATCGACCAGTGGTAATGGTGGAGACCTCAACCCTCATCAACTACCCCCAACCAACCGCTGACAAACCGCCTCCCCAAAATGGGTCTACAGCCATCGAGAGTAGGACACACCTCTTGATTTGACATTGGTTTCCCTACAAGGCACCCCTGCCCACCATAGGACTGCCTCACCATGCACCCAAACAACCCCTTACCACTCTCCAGCCCATGAGAGAGCAACATTCATCCCACATAAACTCTCCTGCAAGAAAGGAGCATGTCCCCATCCAAATTCATCCAGAGGATCATCCCTAGCTGATATGACGAACAGTATATACAAACATGATGAATGAGCATAGTATGGAGTTGAACCCCGGACCTCCAACTTACAATATCAGAGCTCTACCCACTGAGTTATTGAGGTCATTAGTCTGTAAAGGCGCTATGCCAAGCTCGGGACAAGTACGTAGGGTGCAACCTACACCAACCAATTGTGCTCAGGGGAAATTGCGGCCCGACAAGATCGAACCCGCAACCTCCCCATTGCAACATAGGAGCTCTGCCCACTAAGCTACCACGTACTTGCTTACCAACTGGCCGTATCAAAGGTAAGGCGCCAAGTATGCCACAGACACTATCGTGGGGGCAAAGGGAGTTGAACCCACGACCTCCAGAGTGCCACTTGAACGTTGTCGTACCAAATACCCTACAAGGGTATTTGGCGTGTTTTTTGCAAGCCACGTCGCCGTCCGAAGTTCACGACACTCTCGTGGGTGAAAGTTGAGTCCTTGCCCAGGTGAGTAGCGCACACGGTGGGTCGGCAACAGGTGCAACCACGCAGGGTCTGGGTGTGCACAGTAGTGCAGGCCAGCGGGACGCTCGGCCCTTCGACCCCTTACTTTTTTGTGCGACCTCGCGTTTATTCTTATTTTTATTATTATTTTCTCTACTTTTATTTTTTTACCGTTTGGCTCGGCAATCGATTCCAACGCGGACGTCAGGACCGACGGGCCTGAATCAGTTGCTACGTCGTAGGGCACGGGTGGTCGTCGTGGCAGTCGAGGACTTTGATTACGCGCTCCTTTGTTGGGCCCGCTCGGGTTTCGGCGTGTCCTAGAGGCTGGCAAAATTCCTTTATCCGTCTGTCTTGAAACTTGGACCGGGGAGTTCAACGCGCATGCGAGCCGGTGGGTAATTAGCCCATGAGGCGGAAATAAACCTGGGCGGCGGGGGCCATTGCAGGCGTATAGTCCACCCCCCCGCTGTCTGTTGTGAGAGGGTTGTGTGTGAGCATGCCGCAGGGACCGGAAAGTTGGTGTACTAAGCCTGAGTCGGGCGAGACCAGGGCACGGTGGCGAGGCTGTAGGCTGCGTGCGCCCGGTCACACGGAAACCCTTCTCCACTTCGGCCTTCAAAGTTCTCATTTGAATATCTGCTACTACCACCAAGAGCTGCATCGGGACCCGCCTCACCTAGTTCACACGGTAGGCTACGCAGCGGGTCTGCGCCCTCCGAGTCTTGCTCATCGAAGAGGCGGAGTTGTGAAAGGTCGAGCATAGGCCTGGGGTTGCAACGCCGTCCGTTCAGAGCTTAATGATCCAGCAAGGAAGTTAGTACACGCTCCTTAGCGGAGTTTGACTTCCACGACCTCTGACCTGCTGTGTGTACCAGGCAACACCGGTGCGGTGTACAGGGTAGCGCACAGTATAGCGTTGCTGAGTCTCCGACTACCAGGCGCTATGGGCCAGAGCTGGTGCAAACGAGAACGGGGTAGCGCAAAGTATAGCATTGGGGAATCTCCGACTACTGGCGTTGTCGGCCTGAGCTGGCGCAAACGGGAGGAAAGCGGAGAGAAGAACGAACCCGAACGGGAAAGTGCGTCGAGTGTATGCAGAGAAAGAGCGGGTTATGGCGCGAGCAGGAGGGACAAAAAACCGAAGATCCCACCCGTTACTCAATGAAAACGGGCGGGGACAAAGGCGATCTTGGGGTTTTGACCCCAGGCAAATCGAATGGTGAGTTCAAATTTGGAAGAAGGTTAGTAGACAGGAAGGTAAATAAGATAGAAGGTGCGCTAAAGAAGAGATGGTGGGAGTAAAAAATCAAGATATCACTGATGGAATCGAGTGGAGTAAAAATGTAAACAGGGGTTTTAAGGTAAGGCAACTCCGTTAATGATGTTAGTTAGGCTATTAGATTAGTAAAATACAAGTTAGTAAGAAATAATATCGCGCGAAATATCGAAAGGTGGGTTATGGCCGCATAAGGAAAAGTAAAGTCTCACTCGATTCTTTACGGAATCGAGCGAGAGAGGAGTCGTCTCGAAGGTTTTGAAGGGTGGCGAATCTAGAAATGAGTTCGTATTTTGAGTTAGAAAGGTAGTTTTGGCACTATAGACAATAACAGTTGCGTGCGGGAGAGGCATGGTGAAGTCCTAATGCACCTGGTCAGGTTTACGGGGAAGGTTCATCCTCATTCTGCACACTTCAATCGGTAAGTATCCACGCTACCCATCGGGTTTGCCAACGTAGTGTTATTCATCGTTGTTCTGAACTTCTTCTTTGTCATCGTTTCCGTGCTTACAACCACCGATCACGATGATTCGTCCTTAATTCGTTGGTTACCCGAGTGAGCTGCTCATCGTCCGTCGTGTTGTCGGTGCCCCGTTTGTAGTAATCTCACTTGTAAGATTCGCCCATCACCCCGTTTCCAACCTCGTTTTTCGTAGGTGGTCGTGATCTTACCTGAAAGTCGTGTTGTAGTTGTCGCCTCTATGTTAACGATCGACATTTTCTCCCTGGCTATGATGACCGTCTTCTCCGCAGTGTCGTTCCGCTCTTTGTTGTAGAAGTATTTTTTCGGGTAGGTGGTGGCCAGGTGATCCTAACGCTGCATCCATCCTACTGTTGTGGATGTATCTACCCGTATTCTAGTCCGAGATACGGTTTGTCTTTACATGTTTTGCACTAGGTGGATGGAGGGCGCATCAACATAAGTAAGGAAGGATAAGGAGGAAGAGGGATTGGTGGGAACAAGGGAAGACGGTGAGAAAAAAAGTGGGGGCGATGTACTTCGCAAGTCTTATCAAAAGTTTTATTCGATCATGCTCATCGGTTGGGTCGAAATGGTCGCTCCTTGCTTCTCTGACGCACAAATTCGAGAAACAATGTTTTCTTTTCCTATGATCTTGAAGAAGATTCTTTCTCGTTGGCACATTCGTCGGCTGCCCAATTGACAAGCACATGAAACTCTTGGGCTGTAGAGCGAGCGAGTGTGGTTGAAAGGTCATACCGTATCTTCCTGATTGCCAACAAAAGATTCACTCATATTCTGCATGGTCCAACGACCAAAGTAACAAAGGCGTGCCAGTGAGGCCAGTCGTGAGGTTAGAGACTTGCTTGCTACCCTGTTTGTAGCCAATCCGACTGTCAAACGGAGGCAGTAAAGGCAGACCTCGGGGGTGAAGACTTACCTGGTAGGCAAATGTTGTGCGATGAACCAAAAGTCGGGTTGTGTATAGCGCTGCAAGGCCGCAAACAGATGTGGACGTGAGACTCTCCCTAAGTTACGGAGCTTTTAATTCTGAGTGAGCTACATATATGCGCCCGCCGCCACTTAGGGCCAAAGAAAAGGTAAAGTGTTACTATGGCTAGCTAAGTATGTAGATGCGGCGACTGTTTTGGGTTGTGTCGCCCGATCGCTCTCTGCAGTTGGAATTAGCATCCGGGAAAGAAGTTCACCTGCAACTCGGAGAGTCACACTTGTTGCGACTTGGAAACTTACCGGTTGGCTGACGCACTGTCCATCCTATCGGTTGAAGAAGCAAGAGTCGAAGTTGTATACTTACCTGCTGGCCGGTGCACTGTTTGCTTCTGAACAGAAAAGTCAGAGGCGAGTCACGAGTTTGCGAGTTTACCTATAGTCAAAGCACTTGAGGGTCGAGTATTGTGGAGCGGTGTAGGAGGGGTTTTGCAGCAAGTGAGAAAAGCGTCGAAAAATCAACAATTGACAAATTGACTTCATTTGACGAAGTTGCAGAGCACTTTCTGACCATCATTGAGGGACCCTCAGGTGCATCAAAGAATCAAGGCTCTCTCACGCGAGTCTAAGTGCACCTCTCTCGTATCTAAGCGAACGACTTATTAATCCTCATTCTGTCCTTCTCATTCTCAGTTTAATTTTTTGATTCAGAAAGGAAGGTGACGGGGGAGATTGAAACCCGTAATCCGTGCCAAGACCTTTGTGGGAGGTTCGCCCCACCAATTGTGGTGGGAGCTTTGCCGAGGTTCGGGCGGGACCCTGGAGGCAGGAGACTTTAAGGTAGGCCGACGCGATCTCCCTTAGGATCCCGTATACCCCTAGTATCTATACCACCCTTCATTCAGTTTGACTGAGTTTTGAATTTTTGTATATTTCTTTGACTTCAATTGAATCAGAGAGGAACTTTACTATGTCCGTTGAATTCATCTGCCTGAAATGAAAATTAGAATTTTTGCATGTGATGACTTAAAAAGACGCTGGAGATTAGGTCCGTCTAACTCATCCGGTCGGTTTTGCTCGTTTGCTTAAGACATTGAAATGAGGCTGGAGATGAGGTATTTCTGACTGATCCGGTCACTTTGCTCGTTTGTGTAAAACATTGAAATAGGGTTGGAGATGAGGTCATTCTGACTGATCCGGTCGCTTTGCTCGTTTGTCTAAGACATTGAAATGTGGTTGGAGATGAGGTCCTTCTGACTGTTCCGGTCGCTTTGGTCGTTTGCCTATTAAAATGGGGTTGAATATGAGGTCTCTCTGACTGATCTGGTCGCTTTGCTCATTTGCCTAAGACATTGAATTGGGGATGAAAATGAGACCCTCCTGACTAATCTGGTCTCTTTGCTTGTTTGCCTAGGACATTGAAATGAGGTCGGAGATGAGGTCCTTCTGACTGATCAGGTCGCTTTGCCCGTTTGCCTAAGACATTGAAAAGAGGTTGAAGATGAGGTCCTTCTAACTGATCCAGTTGCCTTGCTCGTTTGCCTAAGACATTGAAAAGGGGCTATAGATGAGGGTCTGCTGATTGATGTGGTCGCTTTGCTTGTTCGCAAAAGACACTGAAATGGGGTTGGAGATGAGGTCATCCTGACTGATGAGGTCGCTTTGCTCGTTTGCCTAAGACATTGAAATGGTGCTGGAGATGAGGTCCTCATGACTGATCCGGTCGCTTTGCTTGTTTGCTTAAAATATT